CTTTGTTTTTTTGGTTTTTTGGTTTTAGTTTTTTTTTGTCTTGTTTTTTTGGTTTTTCTTGGATTGGCTTCTGAGGATTTCGAAATAGACTTCCCTTGGGTAGTCTTAGACTCCTTCCATTAAAGGGTGACATGATGCATTACACGATTATATTCTGTGAAATGTGCAAAAACGCAGCGGTAGAGTTTGACCCCCGAACCAAACCCTACTACCCCTCTATTAAAAAACCCAAGGAGCGGGAAAAAGGCGAGCCTGAGTCTGCCTTTAGCGGCTTCCTGAGTTGGCCCAAGGTCAGGGTGGAAAAACCACGGTGAATTTATGGAGGTTAAATATGGGGACTACCTGGGGATATAAGGGTTTTATAATGACTATAATAACCGCTATATATGGTAATGGGATTAAAAGTCCCTATTAGGTGGATCACCGTGGCTTGTCCGCGGTTACAGTACTACAGACGTTGCATAGGAGCTATCTTGCAATCTGTTGGCCATGTCTGCTTGAAAAAGGCACGCTACCCGCGGAATGTTTGACACCAACTTCAGGCTTTCTTCTGAAACTAGCTTCCAAGCAAGGCTCAAGTAAGTGATGTGCGTCCAGGAGATGTGCTCCCAGGTGGTCAGGTTTGCGAGCATCAGGAATGTGTGGAAGCAAAGCAAGCAGCTTACCTGAAGAAGTGAAAAAGTGGCAATGGCCAAGGACTCAGCACTTGGCTTGCTTATCCTTGCTTGCAGACAACCATGGAATATTATGGATTTGCTGGGAGGCCATGAGGAAGAAGACGGCAATGAAGATCAGGCCAACCTTGGCAAACACATCTAGGCAAAGTATTGCAGTCCATTTCCCGCAGGGGGCGGGTTCGACAAGAACTTCTGGTCACTTCGAATCTAGCCCAAAAAACCGTGTGGAGGCAGTGCGAAACATCGCAGTGGCCACAAAACACTATTTGCCTATGCTTGGCGGTTACGACGAACAAGTGGAGTATCGTTGCACAACAAACCCCACCCCGAACATCCCTCTGCAAAAGCATTTGTGCCGTAGCACAAGCAAAACGACACTCGGCTCCAGTAAGGAGATGCCCTGCACGCCCTCATAGAAGAAGGCCTCATGCAGGCCAAGGCTTCTATTCTAGGCCAGCACACGGTCCTGACATTTCTGTCCGATGCAAGTACTTTTGAACGTAGCTGCACCAAGAGCTCCAGCATACTTTATGTCTTCCCGAGCAATCAAGCAGGCCAAGCGACTGCTAGCTCGATACACTGTAGAACCAGAAACCAGAAGAAGAGCACGCGATTGTTCTCGCCTGAAAGGGAATGGCATGGGCCTCCCCACCCTGAGCTTCTGCCTGCAATCGCACCAAACGCGCCTACACAGCTTCCGATCCAAGGACAGTGGTGGTCATGCGTTCGCACACATCGGCCACAGTCCTTAGAGCCACGCCAGCTGGGTGTTGCCTTGTGTCATGCTCTTCCTGGGAGAGTGCTGGATGCTGTGTAGATTGAGTTCAGATAATAGGAAAAGCAAAACAGTTGTTTCGTAATCCCAGTTGGTGAATTTCAAGATGGGTTTCATGGCAGTGCTTTGTCCGCAGCGGCTGATGCAAATGGCAGCGCTTGCACCACCGCAGCTGCGTTCCTGACCGTAACAACAGAAACATCTAAAGGTGGCCGTGGCTGAGATCGATCAAGGAACGCAAGCCGATGCAACACAGCCACGACCATGACATCTCAGATGAACAAGGCGTCATACTCTTTTGGGATTCCAGGGGCAATTCTGACCGGGATTCCAAGTAGACTGCTTTGGGTATTTATAGCTACCCATCAACCTCGAAGTCAGCAGCAATCAGGCCTTTGAACCATAGTTAAGTTTTGACACTCATCATGTCTTTGCCTGGTGGGTTGTCTGCCTCCTCCAAGTCTTCAGCCGGCCCTCGTCGTTTCAGGATACCTTCCTGGTCCGAGCTCCCGTCACTTATGCGTGACTGCACAGGTTCACAAGCTCGAGCGCTGTGTGCTTGCCGCAGCTAACAAGCTAAGACTGGCACATCGTAGTACTCGAAGTCCTCCACACTCGGAGCTTGCAGATCTTCTCATCTGCCCTACGTCTACTATTGTATTTACTCAGCTCACACACATCGCCAGCTTGTATATTGCTTCATCGAGGCATGAGGTTTCGAAGTAGCAATGACCCGACATGACTCAATGCAGAGGCGGTCCAGCGGCGGATTTTCCAGCTGGCTGGTAGCAGCACCAGCAGTTGGCTGGACTTTCTCTTCCTGCACCATATGCTGATCAAGGCGTGCTTAATACAGCCCGTACCCATCGGATTGGAATATGTATTTGGCCCAATCGGACCAACCTAGCGGCGTGCCATCAATAAGATGCGGGCAAGTTTCATCTGGAAAGCCAACTCCAACGACTTCTGGCAACCTGAAATCCAGCACAGTCCTGGATTGAAGGCCTTGCGCCGCCAAATGATGTCATACAAGCTTCCTGCAGCTGAGGCACATAATGGGCTTGCCCTCTGCCAAGCCTCCCTTCCATTCAGTCATGGACATGGCAGCAGCGCAGCAAAGCAGCAAGCATCCTCTACTGCTGCAGTATGCGACATTGCTTGGTTGCACGCCAGCTTGCAAGAACCCTGGGTCCGTCAAGCAGGTGCGCAAATAGCACGCCACTGTCGCTAGTACAAGCAGCCTCAAGCTGCGGTACCACATGCTTGCATCTTGCCAGATTTCGGCTCTATGCCATACCACATCTGTCACGATCAGACCATGGAGCGAAAGAACCACGATCGGGGAAATGACACGTTCCGAGCAAAGGTTGCAGGAGCCGCGGCTGCCAGTCCCGGGCATGTCTTCACTAAACTGCGGCAAGCTCGCCACACCATGGCCGCCTATGTGACTGAAGCCTTTTGGTTTTGGATCTTGCCTTCCTGCTGTCAATGTGCCAGATGTTCAAAGGTGTCTTTCATGTTTAGCTTGGCTTGTGTATGAGGTCAGCATGTAGCTCTATGGTAGCGGCACAAACGTTCTTGCGTGGAATACAGCAGAAGCATGCGCCTAAAGCTCCATGAGGCTGATGCCAATGACGCTTCGGATTCCAAGCATGTTACTTGCAAGGCTGAATGACAAATGGAGCCCATAGCTAGCAAGCCAGAGGCTCAAGCGCGGTCTGTACACATTGCACATACAGCCCGCATTGCAGGACCCACCCAAGTTCAGGAGTTGCCTGTAGAAGGGTAAAAGTAGGAATGCAGCCAGGGATTGGCGATGCCCTCATGTTTTTCTCCAGGAGAGGATCGGTCCGCTCATTGTCTTGCCTCAGATCATGAACACACAGGTGCACAGGTCATCGAATGTCACGGCACGCATGCTTGCAGGACTCAAATCACTATCCAGGAGCAGAAGCCGACCTCTCAACATTTCTCGAAAGACTAACATCACATGGCAGATCTGGGCCACCAACGGAACCATCTTATACTTTGTCCCTTGCCTCACGCCGTTGGAGGGCTTGCGGACGAGTGCATGCCAAATGATCTTGCAAACTATGAGGAGTCATGCTGACTCATCGGGTGATCGCAACGTCAAGGCATGCTTCATGATGCCAACCCCACGAGCGACAGCTAATGTCAATCGCTCTGCCAAGAAAGTGCCTCAGAGCAGCTGCACTACAGATGCAGGGCATGCCTCGCGAATCGAAGCCTCTCCTGACACTTGCCAAATTGACAAGACGCGCAGACCACCACATACACGTGCAGCCACATTTCAGGGGGCTGTGCACATCAAATGCGAGCAGTAGGCAACGGAAAAATCCTGTCACTGTAACTGACCTAATATGCCTGAAGCCACTTGCATTGAGGGTTCAAAAGTGACCAGGCCTGGACCATCTCTGGCGAAAGCTCTTGCCTGGCCTGCCGCGCATCATCAGAGACAAACTTGAGAATTAGAAGCTGGGAAGGCTGTCAGCAATGTCAGGTCTGGGCACTCGGTTTGGTGATGCTGCACGCGGTGCAGCTTTTTTTTATGTTGCACACGGCATGTCGTGGCTTGCTCTGGCTTGCCCTGGCCTCGGCTTCCCAGCCAACCTTAGAGTTCAATGCGGGGGGGATGTTGCGGTGCCATGCAGTGCTGAGGCATTACCTATGACCCGTAAAACGACTCTGCTCTTATGCCCAGACGCCATTGGCCCACAAGGACGGCCGAGGAATTTTGTGCTGCGTTCAGCCTGCATCGCCCAAGCGGAGTTTAGGGGCAGAGAACGTTTTGGGGTGCCTGCCTTGCGAGCGGAAAGCAGTGCTCGTCGAAGCATCTGAAGGAAGGTTCCCGTGCCGACTAAATTTTGGTGCTTGCGTGACTTTGCCGCCTGGTTCTCGTAGGCAGGTTTCGCTGTGGTGTACAGCTCCTCCTCAGCCGTGGCTCTGTCAGCTGTGCTTCTGCTGGCCAGAGCTCTCGCTGCGGACGGTTGCCAGTCAATGCATATGGGAACCACTGCCAGCAACCGAAACTGATCGGCGTACAAATGTCGAGTGCAGCGGCTAAGCCTGCTAACTAGCTTGCCCTTTCCTCTTTGCAGGCCAATCAAATCATGTTAAATGCCAGGTAAGCAGAGTCCTCCTGCCCATAAAACAGGTCCATCAAGCTCACCTTCAAATCCATCCAGGCAGGTCACCAACACTGGGTGACCTACCAATGAAAATAAAATATATGATCAAAACATGTGTAGAATTTGGAGAGAAAGAACATAATCAACAACAAATGATTCCACTTGCAAAATGTGGACAGTCACAGGGATCGGTAGGGATCTGTGGCGCGATCCTCGTAATGCTCGTGGCTGTTGGGCCCTCGGATCCTCTTGGAGTTTGTAAAGTGTCAACAGTCACAAGATCGTGGGGGTCGGGGTCACGATCGTCGTAACTGTCGTCGCTGTTGGATCCTTGGATCCTTGTGGACAGTGAGAAACGTAGACATTCACGGGGTGGTTTCCCATTTGCAAGCAACTTACTGCAAAAATGGTAATGACATGATGTCCTTTTACTGCAAGCATAAATGGCCTTACGCGTTCCGTCTGTGTCACCCTGCTGCCCTCGCCTTTGCCTTGGCCCGCCTGTGGCGAAGGGCCACATGTGTCCACATCCTCGCCTTTGCCTTTGCCCTTGCGGCTGTCGCGGCTGCGGCTGCGGCTGCGGCCGCGCCTAGGTGGACTCTCCGCTCTGGCCGTGCAAGGCGAAGGTGGTGCTTCCATCTCAATGAATCGCACCGCTTCCAAAACACTGATCAAAAGCGATGTCAAGGGCGGTCTGCCGTTGAAGGCAAACTCGAGCTGTGCACCAGTCCCTGCAATCCAATAACCACATCGCAGGCAATGCATCGAACATGGTCTGGTTCCGGTGCTCGGCACCTGCAAGTGTGGCACGTGGCCATGGCTGCAAGGCAACGGCTGCATGTTTGAAAACTTTGGGCAGCAACGGCTACGAAAGGCAGCTTGACTGAAGCAAAGGAGAGCGCGCAGATGGGGGGGGTGGCTGCAGCCACCCCCCCAACCCTTCCGGGTTTTAAGACCATCCATGCCTGCAAGAAAAGAAGCATCATGGCATCGCATCACCGTGTTTGCAGGAAGAGAAAATTACACGGATCGTTTGGGTTTGCCGCAGCCCCCCCACGCCTTTTTCAGCGAAACAAGCGTGCAATAAAAAGAAACGTCGTGTCGTCACCATGTCTGCAGTAAGG